AATCTGGCATTGTAGAAACTGACATTACCAAACTCACCGACCTTGCCTCCAGCCTCCACTCTGCTTCCAATTCCAACCCATTCTCTTCGATACTAACAAACCCCCTTCTCACCTGGTTCTGGACCATTGCAGGCCCCATAATAATCATTCTTCTCGCCTGTCTCTTCTTACCCTGTATAATAAAGTTCATTAAATCCCAAGTCGGAAAAATCTCTAATCAAACTTTCAACCAGCTTTTACTCAGGAACTACCAGCTTTTAGCCACAGAAGATCCCTCACCCTCACGTAACCTGCTCACCACACGCTGAGATGGACCCCTCTCTCCGCTGGAAATTGTTCCTGGAAACACTGGCCGCAGACACCTGGCTTCTGGCACCCGTATATCCTCTTGGCACCATTGGAATCAACAAGTCCTCGACCTATAGTTACAGGGAACCTTCATTGATTTCCAACCGGAAGAAGTCCATATCTACTCGTCCTTACTGTGGGGAGTCCTATCAACCCTTTCCTCCCAATCCTCAAGCCCTCACTCCGTTCTCCGCCCCCGTTCAGCAGGAAGCAGTCCGAGAGAAAGGAACGTCCACAACCCCATAGAGGAGAAAGGGGGGAATGAAGGGCCCCCACCAGTAAGATGGCGAACTTCCGGGTTCTCTTCCAGGCCCTCAGTTCCCAACGGCGCCACCTGAAGACCAATCACCTCTCTCCCTCCTCCCACTCCCAGCACCTAGCCAATAGCCACCAGCCCCGTAGAAGTGACACCTCAATCAGCTCATGCCCCTTCCTATATAACCCGGCACCTTTCCCTAATAAAGCAGAATTCTCTGGAGAATTGCTGCTGTGTGTCACTCCTTTCCTTTCAATAGGAGTGCATATCAATAATACCTTAATAAAAAATTTTTAAAAAAGAATCTTACCTGTTTAACTTCCTGGGTGTTAAAATGCCATCTTATCTTTAAGATGGGATGCTTCCCGCCTTTTATTATGTTGTCTGTGGCTGGGCTTACTTGACATATTAATTGCCCAGGTTATACATTACTTGATTAGGGGCTGGAGGAGGAAAAGCCGCATCTAGGAAAAGTTAAACTGGGCTTTTAGCAGGTTAAAGTAAATTTTACAACAGCCTCATTTAACTGATAGAATGAAGACATGGGCTATGCTGATATTTTCTTATCTGGGGGATGTTCACACATTCCAGGCCAGGGTTACGCCTGGCTTTTTAGTTTTAAGTAATCTTCACAGAAGAATGCTTATACTCCTAGTTTGGTATTTTACTTTAGAGAATTAATGTGACTCTGACTTTGCTTAATTGTTTAATACGGAGTTTTGGTAGGGGTCTTTTTCCAGAGGCCCCCACCCTACTCTGACTACACCCACGGTCCCTGTCTCAGAATCTCTATGGTTAGTTATAAATTACTCAGCTGAAGATTACAAACCGAAAAGACAGAAAGATATGAAGTTCTAAATACAAAAAAAATGCAGTCAGTTCCCAGATCAAAGTAAAGAAACTTCATTCCCAAATAAAAAATACAAGAAGTACCTCATGAAAAAATTTTTAATTTTAAAGGCGCTGCCTCCGGGCGGCCTGTCCCCCGCTACCCCGCCACGAGTCACACTTGAACTTCAGCCCGTCCGGCCCTCGCCCTCGAGGCCCCCGCCGAGAAAATCCACACACGGACCGCACAACGCCTACCGGCCTCCCCCTCTGCACGGCCCGGCCCCTCCGCCTGCGGCCCCGCTGGCGGACGCGCGCCGCGGGGCAGAGAGCAGCCACTCTCACCACACAGGCCCGGACGGTGAAGCGGCGGCTCCGGCGACCCCCTCTCCCCACGCCCCGGCAAACTTCGCCAGCAGCGCGGACGTCCGTCCCCTCGTCCGGCTCCCCCGCGCCCTCAGGCGGAGTCAGGGGTCCCCGCGCCCCGCGGCCACGTACCTTGCGGCCCGCAGAGCTGTCGCTGTCGCCTTCACCCCTGAAGTAGAGCCCGCTCTGGACCCTCCACCGCAGATCTGCGGCAGCGGGAGCCGCTTCTCGGCCGAACTCTGAATTCCGGGCCGATCGCCGCCCTCCGGCCGCCGCGGGAGAGCCGAGAAGGGGCGAGGCGGCGATCCGAGGCCGGGGGCGAGGTCGGTGCCGCTCCCGCATGCGCGCCGGGAGGACGGCGCAGCCGCGCGCGCGAGTCCGTCAGCATCTGGTCTCCGCTGGGCCCGCTGCGCGGACGGGACGGTGCGGGCCGCTCCTCCCCGGGCCGGCGGACCGAAACACGGAGGAGGAGGCGGGAGCGGCTTCTCTAGGAGGCGCTCGGGACGCTCCTGACTGTTGAATATGGCGGCCGCCGGACATACAGCTGCCCGCCCCCCATTGTCAGCCCTCGAGGCCGATCACCGCGTGGCGCCCCGGCGCAGGCAGACATTGGACGCGGGCCCAGATCACGTAATGTCAGCCTCTCCCTTCTTTCCCTTGTCCAGATTCCCTCCCTACCTTTTTCTTCTGACTCTCCTGAGACCCTGAAATGCCAGTTGCTTCTAAAAAATCCATCCCTCCCCTGGGACAGTATACCTTGGACCTGAGCTGAATTAGTAGTTGTAATTCAGAATTTTCCTACCTGTACAAGGTCAGCCACTGTTCATAGAACTGAGACATCTTTGGGGTGCTTATGTCCCGGGGTTACCTGAACTATATCAGCTTGTACACATATTGGTCAAAACTTCAGATGCTAAATCCTGGATGGCAAAACTGACACGGAAAGGGATATACAGTCTTTTTACAATAAACCAAAAAAGGGTCTAAAAATTAGGGAATTGTCTGCTAAAATCCTAAATATTTCCAACTAACTTTGATTAGACCATAGTTCAATTATACACACAGAGAAAAGCTAGAGCTACCGGAGATTATGGCCATACCTTCCACTCTCCCAGGGACACATCAGGTATCCTCTGTGATCTGGCAGGCGGAAGAACTGTGCGTTTCAGGATTTCACTCCTTATGTTCTGCCCTACTGTGTGAGGAGATGGTGACCTATTGCAAGGGGCTCATGGATCAATCCTATCCCCAACCAGCTAAGGCTGCCTTCCCACATCTTCCTAAACAGCCCCTGGACCCCTTATGACCTTCAACCAGGAGATTTCATCTAATGGAATTGACATCAGAGGAAAACTACTCTTAAGTTCATTGGGAAGGGACCTTATCAGGTACTGTTAGCAACAAATACAGCAGTAAAACTCCAGGGAGTCATCCTTGGGGTCACATTTCACAGCTAAGAAATAATTCAGAGTTCTACATGGTGGACGGGCTCCTCCAAGAAGGGACTTCAGATTTGGATTCTCAGAGATCCCCTGGAAGCAATCTTTAGAGTATGTGGGTGATGCAGGGCAGGGGCCACTGTTGTCTAAGACATGAGGCTAAAACCCCTGACTAGTTCCTGTTTTGTTATTCATCTGCTTGCTTATAACCATTCTCATTTGCTATAGGCCGCTGGTCATTGTCCACCCACAATGGGCCTTTTCCTCTTTTCTTTCCTCGTTATCATAATTGCTGGGTCAGAATGTACTTGTTCTAATACCATTCTTAGGTAATCCCAGTCATCACTGCCCCCAGTCTTCCTGACTGTCGCCTGCACATCCTTCAGCAGGCCATCATGAGGAAAGCCCCTGGACAGCTCCCGTCTCATCAAACAAGATCGTGAGGGACTGCAGCCAATGGCGCTGGCATCTACACAGACAAATGACCTTAAATAAGTCAACATATGACTTTGGTGGTGCCCTTCTCTCTCAGAAAAAGAGGCAGTTATTACAATCAGCTCTATGTTGATTCAACAACGGGAGATGGGCCATTCACCTGCCGCCTGGAAGACATGAGTGGAGAGCCAAGCATGCAGTTGAGCTGAGGTAAGGCCTTTCTCTAGTTCCCATTGTTGCCTCTCTCCTGGACCTCCACATACCCTACTGGATATGTTTCTTTAGCAGCCAGGATGCCTGGTCCTGTTTGCCTCAAATACTTCATGCACTTTAGGAAGAGTATTCTAAGACTTATCTATACACAGAGACACTAATCTAGAAATCACCAGTTAGAGAACAATGAGCCACTGAGTCACTGGATTACAGAGCTTTAGCATTTAGAAGCCAGCCTTTTAAATTTGTTTCTTGTCCAGCAGGAAAGTTCCAAAAGAATGCATTTTTCACCATATTTGTCCATCACATGCTAAAATAACACAGAACAAATGTACAAGATTTTCCACTGAACTACTTGTGCCTTCCTGTTAATCTGTCTCAAAAACCCTTTGCTGAAAAGGATTTGTAATGCGTTATCTCACAATAACAGAAATCTTTTTCTCTTTAAAATTTCTACTTGCTCATCTGGGAATGCCCACATTACAAATTCTTGTTTCAATAAGTAAGTCTATTGTTGAAAGGAAACTGCATCTTTTTTTGTAAAGCAAAATGTGTATATGTGTTCTTTAAGACTACCTGAGTGTGTGCATATTCACACACAGCAGAACCTGCCTACATATCTAGTATGGGTCTAGATAGATAGATACACATACATTCGTGCACAGAGTATAACATATATGTATACACACACACACCTATACATGCATACAGTACAAAATAGTGGTTAAAACCATGGACTCTGCGACCAGTCTCCTTAGATTTAAATTCCAGACCCATATGGTAACAAAGGTAGGTTATTTCACCCTTCAACTGCCTCAGATTCCTCATCCTACCATGAGAAGAATATGGGCTGGTATCAGGGCTAAATGATGAAAACAAGCAGAGCTCGGCACAAGCCTTCGGACAACAGCTGGCCCCTGGAAAACACTCTCCAAAAATATCTGCTGTAATTAATCTGTGTACTTGTATATATGGCACAGGTAATAAGTAATTACCCCTCATGTATCTCTTTCACACATTTGGGTTTTGTATGCTAGGTTTTCCTTTGGGTGCGATGCATGTATACACTTAAAAATGGTCAAAAGCTTAGTTCTTCTACTAGCTCTTCTCCCAACTCTACTTCTCCAGGCTGAATAAACCTAACTTGACTTTGCCTCATATGTTTTATATTCCAACCCCTCAATCTTTTCATCCATCTTTTCTTGAATCTCCTAGGATTTTCTAGAGCTGTCTAACTCCAAAGTGCTCACAGTATTCAACCGGGACATGGTGGTGCAGCTGTGAGGCCCTCCGCAGGGCTGTGAGTGTCTCAAGGGGGCCAAGACTCGCTTTGGTTCCCAGGTCTCATCCCAGAACCTTCTATTGGGCTCTGCCTAGATTGCGCATTCTTTCAGTGCGACCTCACTGCTAGCACCAGGGATTGTAGACCAGCAACTGGTTGCTCAGATGCACATTAAAGTCATCAGGAACCTTTAAGAACTACTAATGTCCTGGCTCACCCTAGGGAGATAAATCAGCATCTCTGGGGTGTGGCTGTACACTGCTATTTCTTAGAAGCTCCTGTGTGGATCTACAGCACAACCAGGATTAACATCTAGAGTGCCACACAGGGAGGACATTGCTAGCAGAGTGTTCCTTATTGGGTAGGGGAGGCAACGTCTTCCCAGCTCCTTCTCAAAGACCAGTGGACAGCCTCTGGAGGCCGTGCTCCCTGCCTCATTTCCAAAGATCTCCAGAAAAAAGCATCTGCCCAGTGGGACTGGAAATTCTGTTTCAGAGTAACCATTCTCAAATTTTTCTTCTGTTGCCACACATGTGACGGATACTATTCATATGCATGAACTGTTTGGCTGTGATAGGCCAGGCCCATTCCCAGCTGTAATTCCATTTAAGGAAGCCTCTTAAAACACAGGTTAGTGACAGGGACATAATTACAGGAACAATCTGTGCTGTATATTTGTATAAAATAATTTTCCAATTAGGTACTTTACTGGTCATTTACTAACATACTTTTCTAATGTCTAGTTTCTCCAGGCACTGGTCTAGGTGCTGGGCATGACATTGTTTTTAAAACACACTCACAACAAATTTCATGCTATTTGTGGAAATTACACTGTGGTATAATTACACTTCAGTGAGGAGACAATAAAAAGACAAACAAACATGTTTCTGAGCAGTGACAGTTATTGCTGGTGAATGTCACAAAGAAAAGAAAAGGTGGTGAGAGAGTGCCTCATTCGGCGGGAGACCTGGGAAGACATCTCCAAGGAGCCAGTATTTGAGTAGAGAGGGATCCAGGAGAGGTAGCAGGCAAGGCTTCTGGGAGTCTGGGGAGAGTGGATAGGGGCTGAGCAATTGCAAAGGCCTCTGGGGAGGGAGCCTGCCACGTGGCTCAGAGGACACCAAGTGGGTTTAACTTCCAGTGGCATGAGAAGCCATGGGAGGGTTTTGAACCAGGGAATACTCTGACCTGTTCCATGCAGAGCCAGCCATGGCTCCTGCTCCAGAGTCGAGTATACAGTAGGGGGTGGTGTTGGAAGCAGACCTGTCAGATAGCTATTGACTCTGAGGGGCTAGTGCCTGGCAGAGCTGCAGCAGACCAGGTGGAGAGAAGTGGCGCTATTTTAGATGCATCTAGAAGCAGACTTACTGGGACTTGCTGATGTGGGTGCGAGAGAAGAGAGGATGATAGGGATGGGATGCCATCCACTTATTGAGATGGAGGGCACTGGAAAAGAGGGTGCAGAGTGAAAAGCAAGACTTCAGTTTGGATAAAAACAGATATAGACACATAAACTCTGAGAACAGACTGGTGGTTGTCATGGGTGGGAGAGCAGTGAGATAGTTGATGAGAATAAAGAATAAAGAAAGACAGACTCCTGATTATAAAATAAAAAAGTCATGGGGATGGTAGTGCAGCACAGGGAATATAGTCAATAGTATTGCAGTCACTCTGTATGGTGACAGCTGGTGACTACAACATGCGGGTTGTTGCCTAATGTATGTGACTGTCCAATCACTGTGCTGTACACCTGAACCAATGTAAAATTGTATGCCAATTATACTCAAATATAAAAAAAGAGTTCCGTTTGGGATATGCTAAATTTGAGGTAGACATTTGCATGAAGATACTAGAGCAGTGAGTTGACAGTTAAAGGGAGAGGGTGGGACTGGTGATCTCAATTTCATAGTCATTAGAAGATTATACATTTATGTGCATGAGTCTTTCTCCCCCAAGAATTTGAGTTTCATCAGGACAGAAAATTAATCTGTTTTGTTCTTTACTATATCCTTAGCCCTTGGAACATGGGAGGTCCTCAATAAATACTAAGAGTGAATGAAAAATTAAATACCAATTCAGGAAAATGTAACTTCAGTGAAAAAATAGCAGGACGTACTAGGCACTGAAGTGAGAGGGGAATGATCCATATGGGCCAAGAAAAGAAGTCTTGGTGCAGATTGACCCTTACCTGATCTAAAAATAGGGAAGGGACGTCGGGAGGAAGGGTCAAGTTTGGGGGAAAGTAATGACTTTGGTTTACGTTATGATGAATTTGAAGTGACAGAGGAACACTTTAATTCAATAGGCATTTAACTTAGATCTTTAGGTGGTTTGAAATCTGGGCTTCCAGAGGACAGACACCTGCATCCCTCCTTTTGAAAATAGAACCCATAAAACTACATTAGGGTATTGACCTCAAAGTGTTTCCAGGAAATTAAGTAGAAAGTTCTGACTGAGACACCAGGAAAACATTGAAAAGG